CCAAGTGGCAGTATCGATGGACTCAAGCGTGGCAACAGTAGTGAGGTTGGCCCAGGATCAGGCAGTGTTTCGTTCTGCTGTGCATAAGGTTGTTATGAGTTGGTACCAACTCGATGGCACCTAACAACAACAACAACAACAAATACCTAGAGGAGAGCTTCACAGGAGTCATTCTTAGAAGATTTTTTTAAAAATGAGCTTTATTTTATTATGTTTTTGGTGAAAGCAAATTAGGCTCCAATTTCACAATTTCTCTGTAGGCTAAGCACTGAACTGTGAACCACAAAGTCTGCAGTTCAAACCCATCAGCCACTCCTTGGAAACGCTGTACAGGGTTGCATGAGTCAGAACCTACTGGACAGCACATGATAACAACAATACATACTGTTCAGTGATATTGGTTTTGCATTTTTCACATTGTGTCGTAATGCTCAGCTCATTATTCTCTTATGGTTGGTCCCTTTTCATAAATCCTGCCTCCCCGCCCCTTACGGTCTCATTTTTGCTTTTGGATAAACACTGAAAACTTGGTCTCATGTAGATGATTCTGAAAATGAGGACAGTATTCACAAATGATATCATTTATTTTATCAGAACTTTGTGGACTAAAAATTAAAAAGGCTTCTTTTGGAAACTTTAATACTGTTCTAGTCTATTGCTATTCAAACTGTGCTCCAGAGATAACAGGTGACTTCATCTAGGAAGCATATTGATGAGTGTCATCCCCTCGTGTGGATATATCATAGCTTGTTAAGCCATTCACCCATTTGGTGAGCACTTCAATAGCTTTTTGGTACAATACTGAGACACATCACCAGCCTTGAGAGGGAAAAATAGAATAGCAATGCCACTTCCAAAATGAGCAGTATGCTACAGAACACATGGCTTGAGGGGATGATGGAATGACTTTTAAAGACATAATTACAACAACTCACAGGTAGCAACATCTTGCAGGGTGAGGGCAATATTGCCAGGCGTCTGTACTAGGTGGGCATCAAAAAGTTCATGGAAAAATAGAATTGAAAGATAATGAAAATTTTCCATGAACTTTTTGAAGCCCCCTTGTAGATGCGCTGAATCAGCTGTTTCTTCAGTGTCTGGGATTCGTGGGTCCATGAACCAAGGACTGAATACAGGCATTGCATCATTGGCTGTTACCCCTAGGGATACACTCACAGCAGTTTTCTTCCTGTTCCTGAAACCCTACGGTCTGTGGGTCTGGAGGGAGGAATACTCCTGCCTCGAGACACCCAATGATTGCACTGAACTGCAAGTTAAGAATGACACTTGGCCACTTTGGGGTCCTCATGCCTCTGGATGAGCAGAGAAGGGAGCCACTGTACTGGTTACTGTGACTGGTCCCGATCACCAAGAACAAATTGGATTAATAATTACACAAAGGAGATAAAGATATCTGGAATGCAGGGGATTTCTTAGACTGTGTCTTACTACTGTCATGCCCTGTCACGAAAGTCAATGGAAAAATTCCCAAGTCTGACGTGAGCGCTCGTGTCAGTAAACCCAGTTTCTCACCATACATTAAGACATGGAGGGTGACCTCTGAAAACATTTAAACGAGAGTTACTAGAACCTCATGGTTTCTAACCATAGGATAAGGCATCCTGCTCTGGAGAAATTGAAGTGCTTATCAAATACATGTTTGAAGTTGGTTTTAGGTGAATACAAGCAATTTTAACAAAATAATAACCTATTTTCTCTTTTGCTCATAGGGCACTAATCTGTATGGGGCTCATACATTCTTCCTATGCCTTGAAGACACCAGCGGCTCCTCGTTCGGTGTTTTCCTGCTCAACAGCAATGCCATGGGTAGGAAACATTTTTTATCTTGACAGGATTTATACTGCTACTTTTACAAATATGCAAATGGTGAGATCGCTGCTTAACACAGGTATTGCATCTACCACACTTCTAAGCAGGTTAACCTTTCTACTAACCCAGCCCATGCTTCTCCATGTTATTTCTATTGCCAACAGCTCCCAATTCAGCTTTGACCATTGTTTTCCACAATATAATGTAGACAATAGTGTCCACCACTGATTGATTGACATATTTCAACAATGCCTGTAGATTTCAACTGGGCTCTGTTTGTTGGCATTTGTCAAGGCGCTCTTTCCGGAATCCAGCATCTTTCTTCTCTAGTTTATGGATTAATGGTGCTCTAAGGAGGCGCTGTGGGTTAATGCAGACTGAAAAGTCATTTGAACTGGAAGGTCGGTGGCTCAAGCTCACGAGTCATTCCTGGGAAACCCTATACGGATTCGCTATGGGTCAGAACCGACTCGGCGGCACTTAACAACAAAACATGGAGCTCTGGTAGCGTAGTGGTTACAAATCAGGCTGCTAATCTCACGGTTAGCAGTTCAAAACTACCAGCTGTTCCGTGGGGCAAAGATGAGGCTTTCTGCTCCCATGAAGATTTACAGCCTCGGAAACCCTGTGCTGGGTCGCTATGAGTCGGGACAGACTCCACAGCACATAACAACACCAAAGGAGCCTAGGGGTGTCCTACTTGTGGTGTTGTAGGATAAGCACTAGACCATATACTAAGTATTAACCACAAGGTAGACAGTTCAAACCCACTAGCCGCTCCTCAGAAACCCCATACAGTCACTATGAATCAGAACTGACTCTATGGCACTTCACAACAACAACAAAGAACCTCAGTGGTGCAAATGGTTTTTTGATCAGCTGCTAACTCCATGGTTGGTGGTTGAAATCTACCTAGCAGTACCACTAAAGAAAGGGTTGAAGGTCTTCTTTTGTCAAGATGACGATCCAAAAAACTTACAGAACAGTTCCACTCTGTAAAACTTGGGGTTTCCATGATTCACAGTCAGTTCAATGGCAACATTTGGAAGTGTGGGCGGTTAATAAGAACTATAAAACATTTTATTTAGGTTAATCCATTAGCAAGCCCCAAAAGTTTGCATTAAGATAGAACTTGTTCTTCTTCCTCTTCAAATCAAAACAAGATCCCTCCATTCTTCATTGTTTTACTCATTCACTATCCCCCTAAATCTCAGTACACCCCCCACCCCAGATTAAATTTCCATTCTTTTAAAAATGAGGCTTAAACTCTGTTTTAATACAGCTTGGTTCTTCACATTCTAGTTGTTAAGTCAGTTCTGACTCATAGTGACCCCATATAAGGTTTCCAAGGAATGGTTGGAAAGTTTGTAGTCAACCTTGTGGTTCAAACCAACCTTGTGGTCCAGTGCTTACCCTACAGTGCCACACCAGGACTCACTTTCTAGAGAAGACTATAATCAACCACGAGGTTCTAGTAACTCTCATTTAAATCTTTTCAGAGGTCACCCTTCAACCTGCTCCAGCTATCACCTACCGTACAATTGGGGGAATTCTGGACTTTTATGTATTCTTGGGAAACACTCCAGAGCAAGTCATTCAGGAATACCTGGAGGTATGGATTTGTGTCGATGGTCACTGTACGTTGCTGTCAATGCACATCCTTATTGCAAATTAGCAAGAGAAAAAGAAAGGTTATGTGCAGTGAACTGTTTGGAGTATCAAGGATGGGACTGTGAGTCTCTCATTTATTGTGTGTTCATGTTGATGGATGGACAAGTATTAGGCTCCTTCTGTGTGCAAGAGAGGCACTTCACAAAGTCACAGAAATCCAAACCAAGTAGAATTTTGAGGCCATCTACTTTCAAGGGGTTCATAGTGCATTCATTCTGAGCCCTAAGGTTATAAATCATCAACCTTTATCCATTCATTCAGTGAACAAAAACTCAGTGCAAAAGAATGGTGTACAAAACACTGTTCTTGCTTTTGAAAATTGCTTTTCTGTGTATTTTGTTTTTTTAGTCAAACAACTAATTATAACAAGAAGAAATATTAGTCACCAAGTAACACAAACTTTAAAGGAAAGAAACTCAGGTACAGAAGGTGACATGGTTTGTTAAGGATGACATGTAAAGGCGGAGGAAACATGGTCCCAGACTCCATGTCAAACAGGGGACAGAAGAGACCAGCTACAGTTTAGTTGACTCCAACTTATGGTGACGTCATGTGTGTCAGAAGGGAACTGCATTCCACGGGATTTTCAGTGCCTGACTTTTTGGAAATAGATTGACTGATCTTCCTTCTGAGTCTCTTCTGGGTAGACCTTGGCCTCCAACCTTTTCTTCAGCAGTTGAGCATGTTAACTATTTTGCCACATAGGGAACCCCAGAGCAAAAAACCCGACACAGTCTAATAGGTCTAACAGCAAGTGTCTTAGTTATCTTTTGCTGTTGTAACAGAAATACCACAAGTGAATGGCTTTAGAAAACAGAAATTTATTCCCTCAGATTAGGAAGCTACAAGTTTAAATTCAGGGTACCAGTTCTAAGAGGGAAAAAAAAAAGCTAGAAGTGTGAATTCAGCTTGCCAGCTGTAGAGGAAGTTTGCCATCAATCTTACCCTGAGGTTAGGACTTTCTTAGGCAAGGATGTTCTGAGCTCCTGGTTCTTCCTCCTTGGTGGTGGTAGGTCCCTTTGATCTCTGCTCCCTTATTGAATCTTTTCTAATTCTCAAAAGCCATTCCTTGAAATAAATATGAGGCTGTCTGTTTCCATAAAGAATCAGTCTCAGAAAAATCTACATAGGGTTGCTATGAGTCTCTTCCAATCAGTTGGCCAGGTAGTTGTTTTCCAAATTTCTTGGCAAAGATGAATGAGTGCCTCCAGTGCACCTTGGACTTCTTCCTTCAGTGCCATTGGCTCTTCAATATCATATGTTGCATCTTGAAATGATAGAACATTATCCATTTCTATTTAGTAAAGTGACTTCTGTATTCCTTCCATTTTCTTCTTTTTCTTTTTTCTTTTTTTACAGTGTCTTTCTCAGTATTTTAATATGTGGGACAGCACTGTCAGGAAGTAAGTACCTAGGGAGGAGTCACAGATGACACATACTGCCTTCTACAGCAACTCAATTCTTGGCAGGTTGATTTGCTTTTTCTTCCCTCTCTATCAACAGCAGTGGACACAAGGAACGGGCATAGGAGGATTCATGCCTTATAAATGACTATTACAGGTGAATATCATACCAGAACTTAAATTTCTTTTTCTTCTATTATTGTTGAGACCACATACAGCAAAACATACACTCAATAGTGTCTACATGCATAATTCACGGACATTGATTACATTCTTCATACAGCAAAACATACACTCAATAGCGTCTACATGCATAATTCATGGACATTGATTACATTCTTCAGAGTGGGGAACCATGAGCTATTCTCACTCTCCTTTTCTAAGTTGCTCTTCTCCTAGTAACATAAACTCACTGCCTCCTAAGGTTCCTAGCTAATCTTTCGAGTTGCTGTTGCCAATTTGATCCTATATGGATCTTAAAAGAGTATAATGCTTAAGGGAGACATTCTTTACTAGTGAAACTAAGCTGGTGTTTGGTTTTAAGAAGGTAGCAGGGTTTTTTTTTTTTAAGGTTTAAAGATAATCTCAGGGAAAGAGTTTCAGGGATCCATCAGCCTTCATGATGTGAAGACTGTGAGACTCTGGAATTTTGTTCTTCCTTCTTCTCCTTTTAATGAGATTTCTCCATGGAATCCTTGACCAAAATGCTCAGTAATGGTAGCCGGGCACCATCCAGTTCTTCTGGTCTCAGGGCAAAGGAGGCCGTAGTTCATGGAGGCAATTAGTCATCCGGTCCATTTCCTCCTCTTCTTCTTCTTCCTCTACTGCTCCTGGTGGCTCAGTGAAACCAGGTTAAATTGTTAGTCAGTGTGCTGCAGGCGAAGCCTATGAGTGGAGGCTTACATGTTGCTAGGATGTTAAATAGGTTGCAGAAGAGCTTCTAGACTCCTTCCATCTTCTTTTTTTAGTTTTTTTAGTGTTTCATTGTGAATTATGTGGTAGTTTACACTGGAGAACATTAACTTCATCCTATGTTATTTCGTTACATTGCCATGGTTACAGTACCCTCCATGCATCATCAACCAACCAAAGGGTATACCCTGCAAGCCTGCCCCCCGGTCGTCTGCACACAGCCACTCTCCCTCCCCAAGTCCAGAGTCCCCAGCTGCTCCATCTCTCCACATCATTTTCTCTTCCTCCATCTCTGACGTCAGCGTCTCTCTGGGTGGGGTCACACACTCTGCTCCTCTCCCTTGATGGTCCCAGGGCCCTCTGCTCCTAGACTGCAAAGTCAACCACTCCCCTCCTTTTGCTACAAAACATCTACCTTTACATTTCCAACCCTCACAGTCAGTCCTGATAGTAATTATTCACTATTGTACCACATAAGTGCTATCCATATCTCCTTTCATCAGTCCTGCCCAGACAGATTGGATATTACTCAGTGGAAATTCTACCTTCCTCCACACCCTCTGGATCTAGGCTCCCTCTTGAAAGCTTGTAAGCCAGTCACACATTGCTTTTGAAGCCCCTCCCCCCCATTTTGGGTAGCCAATGTCCAAGTTGCCCATCCCTGTCTACTCTGTGTATGGAGGGGGTGGGAATGATCCTTGCTGTAAAGATTTGTTCCCTCTTTTGAGCTACAGCATCCATAGTTGTAGGTCAAGTTCATCAAATTGTATCAGATGACTCTTTTTTTTTTTTTTTTTTTCCTCTTTCTTCTTCTAGTTGAGCTCTGCTCATCCAGCCATTGAAGCCAGGTCAAGAGGGTATAGTTTGTAAGTGTGGGTGTTCTTGTGCATATGCCCTCTCTTCTTATCAGCTGGATGCTTCATTCTCCACTCTAGTCCTCTGTGGCTATGTAACTAACTCTGGGCCCAGGAGTCCCCAGGTCTTGCCAAACTTCTGGCCAACCAGGTCTCTACTCATGTTCACAGGAGTGTATTGAACATGGTTCGACTTAGCTCGCAGCTTCATTGCTGTTTTTCCCTCACTTCCCCTTATCAGTAGCAAAGGTAGTCACCAATCAGAGAGTGATTGTATGCTCCTGTATTCCCATTGAGTTTTAGTCTTGGAAGGGGATTTGCCCTGAAGGGACCCAAGCACTTGCCTTGATGTCTCCTGGGCAAACAACTTGCTTGTTCTTGTAGAAGTCAGTTGGACTGCCGTTATTGTTTTGTATTTTTCCTGTTGGTCTTTCTTTCAAGAAGTATCTTCTGTTCTTCTAGCCACTCCAGGCTGGTCTGCTTGCCCTTTCCAGTGGAAATTTCCCACCTCAGAAGATTCTGGATGGGGTTCAGGATTCCTCCTATGGTCTTATATAATACAAAGGCTCCACAGGAAACCTTCTTCACTGGGCACGTTGTAGCCCCATTTTAGGTATTCCAATTAGTTATAGGCAGAAGACAGACTTACAAGCTTTTTATGGTGATATTTCTGGCTATTCCTTTCTCTCTCCATCAAGTGTGTATTTTATAATGGCATTCTGGCTATTCCTTTCTCTCTCCATCAAGTGTGTATTTATAATGGCAAGGGAGACTAAGAGTCAAAAGACAGCCAAGAATCTTAACATTATTTCCCCCCTGTTGCCTTCTTCTTCTTTTTTTAATGCTTTCTGCATTATTCAATATTTTGCCCATAGAATCCTTCCATATTTCAAGTAGAACTTTAAGTTTTTTCTTCAGTTCCTTCAGGATGAGAAATGCTGAACATGTTCTTCCGTTTTAGTTTTCTAATTCCAGGTCTTTGCACATTTCATTATACTATTTAACTTTGTCTTCTCAACTGCCCTTTGGAATTTTCTGTTCAACTCTTTTACCTCCTCATTTCTTCCATATGCTTTAGCATCTCTTCAATGGAGCACTTTTTCTGACATCTATTTTGGTTTCTTCTTTCTTTTCTTTCTTTCTCTCTCTCTCTCTCTCTCTCTTTCTTTCTTTCTTTTTCTTTTTAATGACCTTGATGTCATCCCACAGCTGTTCTGGCCACTGGTCTTTAGTGTCATATGCATCAAATCTGTTCTTAAGATGATCTCTTAATTCAGGTGGGATTTATTCAAGGTCATATTATGACTTTCGTGAACTTGTTTTAATTTTTTTCAACTTCAGCCTGAACTTGTATATGAGCAATTGATGGTCTGTTCCACAGTTTTCCCCAGCCTTGTTTTGCTTGGTGATATGGAACTTTTTTACTGTCTCTTTCCACAGATATAGTCAATTTGATTTCTGTGTATTCCATCTGGTGAGGTTCATGTGTATAGTTGTCTTTTATGGTGTTTTAAAAAAGATATTCTCAATGAAGAATTCATTGGTCTTACAAAATTCTATCATGTGATCTCCAGTATCATTTTTATCACTAAGGCTATATTTTCCAAATACTGACCCTTCCTCTTTCTTCCCAACCTTTGCATTCCAATCACCAGTAATGATCAATATATCTTGATTGCATGTTTGGTTAATTTCAGACTGAAGAAGTTGGTAGAATTCTTCAGTTTCATCATTACTGGTTTTAGTATGTAAATTTGAATAATAGTCATATTAACTGGTTTTCCTTGTAGATGTGTGAAGAATGTCTTATCACAGATAGCATTAAACTTCAAAATAGATTATTATGTTCTTTTTGATGATGAATGCAACGCTATTTCTCTCCATTTTGTCATTTCTGGCATAGTAAACCATGTAACAGTGAGATTTAAAATGACTAAAACCAGTCCATTTCAGCTCATTAATGCCTAGTATATCAATTTTTATGCACTCAAGTTCACTTTTAACAACTTTCAATTTTCCCTAGATTCATAGTAGGAATTATTAATGAATGTGTCTAGATCTTTCTCCTTATTTTAAGTTGTGCCCTTGAGCAAATGAAGATTCTGAAAACTTTACTCTATTACTGTGACCATGCTCAGCTAACTGTACTTTTTGGGGGCATTTTTTTCTTAGTAGTATTTTGACTGTCTTCTTACTTGAGGGGCTCATATATCTGACACTATATCTGACTGTATTCTGCTGATATCAATATTGCTCCAATATTCAATATTCTGGTGCTGACAGTGATCTATTGCTATTCATAAGATTTTCAGAATAGTATTCTAAACATTCAGAAGAAGCCTCCTTCTCATTCTTCCTCGTCCATATTAGTCTAGAAACTCAACTGAACGCTGTCCACCCTGAATAACTGTTGATTTTTAATATACCGATGGCATAACTTTCAGCATCACAACAACACCCAAGCCACCACAGTACAACAAACTGACAGATGACTGGTGGACATTTATTTAATTCCTTATATATATATATATATTTTTTTTAATCCCCTCTAGAATTAAAATTCCATTGAGCTATGTTTTTCTTTTTTCAATTATTATTATTATTTTTTCCTCTACCACTAAGGAACCCTGGTAGCATAGTGAACTGTGTGCTGGGTTACTAATGACAATGTAAACAGTTCAGTTCTACTAATTGCTCCCCATAAAGATTTACAGTCTTGTAAACCCTCTACTAGGTCACTGTAAGTCAAGTCGGACCTGACTCTGTGGCACACAACCACCACCATCACCACCGCTGTATCCTAGTTTCTATGTCAGCCTCTTCCAAATCAACATCAAAAACAAAATTAGCAACAACAAAAACCAAATCCAGTGCCATTGTGTAAGTTTCAACTCACATGGAGTTGAACAGAATAGAACTTCTCCACAGGGTTTCCAAGACTGTGAATCTTTATGGGAGCAGACAGCCTCATCTTTCTCCCAGTGAACAACTAGTGGGTTTGAACCACCTACCTTGAGGTAAGCAGCCCAATACCTAGCTTACAGCACCATAAGCACTCAAAAATATTTATTGAATGAATGAATACATTGCTTTTACCTTAAGACTACACTGTAATTCAAGCCTTCTGTAAACGTTCATCATTTTCTGATGTTTCCGATGTTGGGAAGACATTAAAGTAGTTAGTAAGACAGACGTATGTTGTGGAGGTTCACAAAATTTCCTAGGACATTCCTCTTAAATCTGACATTAAGAATCTGGAGACTTTACAGAAAATGAAATGGGATCAATGCTCCGAGTGTTGGACGTGATACTCATCCTATTCATGAACTAATCCTTGCTCTAAATGCCAATGACTTCCTTATTGACTGTTTTCAGCTTGTTGGAAAACCTTTCTTGCCTTCCTACTGGAGTCTTGGCTTCCAGCTTAGCCGCAGGAATTACGATGGCATCGAAGGATTGAAAAGGGTTGTGAGCCGAAACCGTGACGCTGGGATCCCATATGTAAGTCAACACTTTTCCTAATCCATATTAAGCACCATGTTTTTATCTTTTTAAATTTGAATCAAATTTATCAGGAAAAAATATTTCTCTACAGATCAATTGATCCATAGGTAAACACGCACACTGTCAGAAATTTGTTGGCTAAATTTCCAATGGGATTATGAAGAAAGCACAGTTTATGGAGCCAGATGGAGCTGACTTTGAATTATAGTTTCATTTTGCAACATTGGGTCGGGTCACCAGTCTTCGTTTCCTCCTCTATACCTGAGGCCCTAAGGCTTCCCATGGAGGCCTTGAAGGGAGACATGTTTACACCACACACAGGAGTGCCTGGCACAGACATCAACTCCGTCAGTGCAAGTTTTGATTGACAAGAGGAAGTTGTACCTGAGCTTCATGGCTAGCAAAGGCTGACAATGACAATAAATAGCTACAGTGAATGAAACTGCTCTCCCATGGTGGCCCTGTCCTCCCTTTCCAGATTTAGCAGATTCTAATTTCGAAAGTTCTGTGGGTATTTATGATGTGCAATGCAAACCAATAAATAAGGAGATAATTGCTAATTACACTCATATAATACTTGATAACACCAGAAAATGGATACTAGATGGTTTATGAAGTTGTCATAGTAATTTACTTTGCAGTAGCTCTTTGGAACTTTGATGCAAGCATATTTTTGTGTGGCAGCTTCAGGAAGGTTGGGAAGGTGGAATGGACTTAGACCAGACACCACAAGGTGTTGGTGTTCAGCAATTTCAAGAGGTAGCATGTGATAAAGAACCAATGGTACTGAAGGAAGAAGTCCAGGGTGTACTGAAGGAATTGGCAAAAAAAGCTCCATGAATTGATGGATTAAAAATTGAAATATTTCAACAGATATGCAGTATTGGATGCACTCTTTTACATATGCCAAGAAATTTGGAAGATAGCTACCTGGTCTACTGATTAGAAAAGATTCATATTTGTGCCCGGTTCAGAGAGGTGGCCAACAGAAGGGGGAAATCATCAGAAATATCATTAATATTGCACACAACTCAAATTTTGCAAAAAATAATTTTAAAAACATCTGCAACCATATATTGCCAGGGAACAGCCCAAGATTCTAGCCAGATTTAAAGAAGGACATGGAATGAGGGATATCATAACTGACATCAGATGGATCTTGACTGAAAGCAGAGAATACCAGAAAGATGTTTACTTGTGTTTTATTGACTATACAAAGGTTTCCGATTGTGTGGATCATGACAAGTTATAGACAATACTGCAGAGCATGAATATTCTGGAACACTTAATTGTGCTCAAGAGGAACCTGTACATAACCAAGAGGCAGTGGTTCTAACAGAACAAGAATCACTGAATGGATCAAAATTAGGAAGCGTGTGCGCCAGGGTTGTATTCTTTCACCAGACTTATTCAATCTGTATGCTGAGCAAATAATCCAAGAGGATAGATTCTATGATGAAAAACATAGCTTCAGGATTGGAGGAAGACTCATTAACAACTTGTGATATGCAGATGATACAACCTCATTTGTTTGAAAGCAAAGAGTATTTAAAATACTGATGGAAGATCAAAAACCACAGCCTTTGATATGAATGGCATCGCAAAGTAAAGAAAACAAAAATCTTCACCACTGGACCAATAAACAACATCCATATAAATGTAGAAAAGATTCAAGCTGTTGAAGATTTCATTTTGCTCGGACCAACCATCAACATTCACGGAAGCAGTAGTCAAGGAATCAAACAACATATTGCATTAGGCAAATCTGCTGAACAATATTTCTTTAAAGTGTTGAAGAGCAATGATGTCAGTTTGAGAACTAAGGTGTACCTGACCAAAGCCATGGTTATTTTCAGTAGCCACCTATGCATGTGAAAGTTGGACAATGAATAAAGAAGACCATAAAGGAATTGATGCTTTTGAGTTATGATGTTGTAGGAAAATATTAAAAGTGCTCTGGACTGCCAGAAGAACAAACAAGTCTTTGATGGAAGAGTAACAGCCAAAATGCTCCTTAGAAACCAGAATGGCAAGACTTAGTCGTTCATATTTCGGACATTTTATCAGAAGCAACTAGTCTCTGGAGAAGGACATCATGCTTGGCAAAGTGGAGACTCAGTGAAAACGGTGAGGACCCCAATGAAATTGACTAGCAAAGTGGCAGCATCCATGGGGTTAAGCATAGCAAGGATTGTGAGATGGGTGCAGAACCAGGCAATGCTTCTCTCTGGTGTATAGGGTAGCTACTAGTAAGAGCCAACTGGATGGCACCTAACTGCAGCAACATGTGTGCTACTTGCAAATGTTGTATCCCAGATTTTTGGAAGACCTTTGTTATTGTCATGTCTTTATTATTTTACCAATTGCTTTCTCATTCATGGTGAATCCTCACGTCACCATCTTATAGATGAGGAGGAAGTGGAGATGCTGAAAGTCAGTGGCTTTGTCAAGGACACAATGCTGGTTGAGAGGTCGGACCAGAATTGGAATCTCCTTTGACTCTACTGTTGGTACTCATCCTGATCTACGCTGTGCTCACAGATAGAAGGCATCTTTCTGAGGGGAATCCAGTTAGGAACCAAATGAGCTCTTCCATGGTCCTGCTGTGGAGTGTGTCCAGTGTTAACACAGACACTACAACAGGCCACACATTTCTCCTGACTTTGTGCGACCCTGTAGGACAGAGTAGAACTGCCCCATAGGGTTTCCTAGGTTGTCATCTTTATGTGAGGAAACTGCCACGTCTTCCTTCCTTGGAGTGGCTGGTGGACTCAAACCACTGACCTTTTGACTAACTTCCAAACATTAACCACCGCACCACCAGTGATCATCTAAGCTAGCACCTTCAAATCATGAGCTATCTCCAGAGACACATGAGGACTCAGAAGGCTTCCATGTGGCTTTGAGTTGTTATGTGTGAGAGTGGAGAAACCGTCTGTCCCAAAGACCTGCTTCTCCCTCCCCCATGTATATGAACTGGGCAATGTCTTTGAACATTTTCACTTTGCAATCTTCTCACCAAGAAAGATACCTGCTTCTCACAAGCACAAGAGACAATATATGTATGAGAGTTGGGTTAGCTAAAGCTCTTCATTATTGTTGGGTGCTTTCAAGTCGGTTCTGACTCATAGCAATCCTGTATAGGGTTTCCAAGGCAATAAATCTTAGCAGGAGCAGGAAATTTCATCTGTCTCCTGCAGAGAGGTTAGTGGGTTTGGACTGCCGACCTTGTAGTTAGCAGTCCAGCGTTTATCCTACAGCATCACCGGCACCTTAATTAAAGTTCCAGGCCTTTGTTGTTTGCATTAGCATTATTGTTTTAGTTGTTTTATAGGTCATGCACACACATCCCAGCTTCTGTTGAGTCAGTTTGACACATGGTTACCCCTTGAGTGTCAGAGTAGAACTGCTTCTCGGTAGGATTTCAGAGGCCAAGTTTTCAGGAGTTTTCTTTCCAATGGCACCTCTGGTCGTACTCTAACTTCCAACCTTTTGATTGACATCTAAGTGCCTCCCCCTGCACCACTGTCCTTCCCTAAATAACCCACAGCCATTGAGTAGACTCCAACTCATGGTGACCCTGAAAGACACCGTTCAACTACCCTATAGGGTTTCCAAGGAAACAGAATGCCATGTCTGTCTCATCTGGAGCAGCTGGTGGATTTGAAATTCGGACACATTGGCTGCCAGTCAGGTGCTTTAACATCTGCATCAACCAGGGACTCCTTTATAGAAGAAGGGTACCATTGTCTCTTTTTTATCATATATTCTGGCTTGATGTTGAGGTTCAGTGTTTTAATATGCTCATCACACAAATACCTGTGCTAGGTCAAGCATCCAAGTCCTCGATTTATGGAGGTAAAGAAGACTCCGTTGCTACTCTTCCTAACAACATCTGTGCTGTGCATGTTTTGGACAAGGGAGTGACTGTTAGCTCAAGACTATGGCATCTTTCCAAGAAGGGATTATTTATTCCTAGAGTCCTGGTGGCACTGTGGGAATGCTGGTATGGGGCTGTAGGATAAGTACTGGACTGTTAACTGCAAGGTTGGCTGTTCAAACCCAAAAATTGCTCCTTGGGAATACAGGATTCACTATGAGTTGGAAATGACTAGATGGCACTTAAGAATGACATGACCCTATGCATTTTAACTAGATGGAGTGGGCTTGGTTTTTGTTTTTGGCTTATTTATTCCCGGGAGGCAGTTAAACACCATAAGTTCCAGTATCATTAAGAAATACTATCTTCACTTCTTCCATTTCTTCTTTCTTCTTGGCTATTTTTGAGATATTGTTGTTGTTACGTGCTGTGGAGTCGTTTCCGACTCATAGCGACCCTGTATAGGGTTTCCGAGGCTGTATATAATTCAGACGTTAACTTCATTCATGGTGTTGTACAGCCATCACTAACTTCTATTTCCAATGCTTTTTCATCAAACCATACAGAGACTTTGTATCCATTAAACAATACCACCCATTTCTCCCACCGCCCAGCCCAAGGCGATCTCTAATGTACTGTCTGTCTCTATCCATACGTCTGTGCTAGCCATTTTCTATAAATGTGAGATCATTACAATGTGCTTCTGTGTCTGGCTTCTTCACTCAGAATAATGTCTTCAAGGCCCATAAAACAGTAGCATGTACCAGAACATTGTGCGCTTTTATGGCTGAATAACATCTCACTCACTGCATGGCTAGACCTGATGTTTCATATGCACTGCTCTGTTGATAGACACTTGGGTTGATTGCACGTTTTGGCTTTTGTGAACAGAGTTCAGTCAGCATTGTTGGACAAGTCTCTGAGCTCCTGTTTTCCATTCTTCTGTTTATACACTTAGGAGTGGAATTTCTTAGATGGACTGTAACTCTGTTTAACTTTTGGGGGAATCTTACAGTTTCAGTTTGAATGACCAGGGACAGAGCAGTCATATTTCCTAAGTTTTGATCTGCCAATGCTTCCTTTCAGGATGTGCAGTACTCCGACATTGACTACATGGATGGGAACAAAGATTTCACCTATGACAATAAAAGTTTCTCTGGTCTCCCAGAGTTTATCAATGAGTTACACAGCAATGGACAGAAATATGTCATTGTTATGGTAAGTTCAAATACTGGGTTTTTCCTACAGAGTGCAAAACAGCTTTACAAACATGTTTATATTATATTTATTTACTAGAATCCTGGCATCTTCAGAAGTTCTGAGTACAAGCCCTATGAGAATGGAAGAACAAAAAGGATATGGGTCCTTGGGGACAGTGGGCCTGCTGTTGGGAAGGTAAAAGCTCAGGAAAATCAGTAAATTACAGTCATTTTTGGAAAGTTTGATTTTTGTTTTTGAGATGAAGATGGGTGGATGCAGGTTACACGTGACTCTTTTTAAGACTTTGGCATTTTCTCTTATTGTTTTTTTTAAAACCAGTAGATGTAATAATACCCAGATAAAATGCATTACCATCAAGTTGACACTGGCTCATGGTGACCCTGTAAGGAAGAGGAGAGCTGCCCCACGGGGTTCCCAAGGCTGTATGCCTTTACACAAACAGACTGCCACGTCTTTCTTGTATGGATTCCCACCACCGGCCTTTCAGTCAGTAGTTGGGTGCTTAAACACTGTGCCACCAGAGTTCTTGAGAGCTAATACTAAGATGATCTCAATTCAAAGGATTTACGAAGTTAGCATCTGACCATTTGATACTACAGATAATTGAGAAGTGAATTTAGAAGAAAGTTCAGTGATACTTACAGCTCTTCCACCTCCCCAATTCTCTCTCTTTCCCAAGGCAATCAATCCCACTGCAGTAATGTAGCAAGATGCGCTAATGAGAAACCGGTTTCAGCTGATGGAGCTTTAATTTACACATGATGCTTATATGATCTGTAGAGACCAGTCATGAGTCAAGTTGTGGCAGTTTCAGGATTTGAAATAGGCTGGTTAGAAATTTATCTTGAGGATAGCTACATTTTGAGACAACTTTCACTCAAATCACATAGGAGCTTTCTATTTTAATCCTCTGTAGGATCCTCTCTAGATAACTTAAGATTTACTCATATGGGTTGTTGTTGTTAAATGCTGTAGGTGGTGGTCATGTGCCGTGGAGCTGGTTCCAACTCATAGCAACTCTGTACAGGGTTTCCAAGGATTTAAATCTTTATGGGAGCAGAAAGCCTCATCTTTCTCCCGTGGAACAGCTAGTAGTTTCAAACTGCTGACCTTGAGATTAGCCCAATTCGTAACCACTACCCTACAAGTTCCAACTCCTAGTGACCGTGTGTACAACAGAACACAATGCTACACCGTCTTGCACCGTTCTCACAAGGGTTGTTATCTTGTGAGAATCTTGGTGTCACTTCATCTCCCTCAGAGTCTTCCTCTTTCTCGATGACCCTCCATGATAGCCTTCTTCAGGGACTGATCCTTCCTCATCATGTGTCTAAAATATATGACTCTTGCCATCCTTGATTCTCGGGAGCCTTCTGGCTGTACGTATAAGACAGATTGTTCTTCTAAAATGGGTACTTATTCTAAAACGTTCATGTGAACGAAGTCTTCACCGATTCTGGATGATTTACTTTGCAAAACTGTCCTTTCGAGTTTATTGATGTGCTCTTATCTAACTGCTCACTTAATTCATTTCACTGACTTTGCTTACAACACTTACTTCTGTTTCTGTTCTTTTTCATCGATTCAAACTTTCGATGAAACTGTTGAGAAGTTTCCTCCCTCCTACAAACTAAGCATTTGTTTTGACTACTTTGCTTGTAGTGAATTTCTAAAATATCAGATAGATCCACAGTCAAATGTACAGGGCACAGCTAAGAAAGATTCATATTGGTTATTTATTAAATCAGACTAACCATTCCTATGAATCAATCTACTTTACTGTTTTGTTTTTTTTGGTGCTATGGGCTAATGCGTCAGACTGCAAAGTCATTTGAACTGTAAGGTCGGTGGTTCAAGCTCACCAGCTGCTCCTTGGAAACCCTATGCAGGGTCGCTATGGATCAGAATCGACTCGACGGCACTTAGCATTCTTGTTCAGGTTGCATTTATGTGTGCATGCATATTTGCTTTCATATTTTATTTATGTTTAGGATTCATTTATATTTATTTTTACTTTCTATCTTATTTATATTTAATTTGTTTCTTTAATTATTTTATAATGTGTATTTATGTTTATTCATAATTGTTTTCTATTTTATCATTTATCTTTTATTTCTACATTGGTTTTTGTTTATTGTACTCCTACATTATATTTTTATTTTAATTATAATTACATGTATATTTTAATGATACTTATTTTGAAATTTGCTTTATTGATGTTTGCATCTATAGATCATATTTGATTTAGGTATCTGCTTTATTTACACTCATTGTAATTTAATATTAATATTCAATTTCTGTTTCTACCTATAGCAATTCCATTTTTAAGTTTGCTTTTTGTTTTATATTTATATTTAATCTTAATATTATTGTCAATTATATTTTGTTTACACATATTTTTGTATCTATTTTGTATCTATGTTTACACATTGATCTTGTATTGATGCTTGTTTTTATTTTAGGATTTTTTAATGTTCATTTTATTTTTCTGCTTATATTCACATTCTGTTTATATCTATAGTTATATTTTTTTACTTATATTTGCTTTCTCTTTTATTTATATTTAAGTTGTTTTGCTTTTATTTTTAAACTGAATTTCTATTTATTTAGACATTTACTTTAATTTTTATGTTTTATTCGTATGTTTATACTGCCCTGTAGGATAAGCACTGGACTACTAACCACAAAGTTAGTGGTTCAAATCCACCAGCTGCTGCTTGGAAACCCTATACAAAGTCAAGGACTCTTAACAAGAACATGATTTATATGTACATGGATATAATCAATTTATGTTTATTTTATTCATAATTGTGTTTGTATCTATGTTTATATTTATAATCCTATGCATGTTTTTGTTGTTAAGTACTGTTGAGTCAGTTCCAAGCGTGTTTCCTAGGAGCAGCTTGTGGGTTTGAACCATTGACCTTGCTGTTAACAATCCAGTGCTTACTAAACAGGGCCACACCAGGATGCCAATCATATGCAAAGTCATTATAATTTTCATGTTGTTTATGTTTTATATTTGCATATTTAATTTATATTTATTTTATAATTAAGTTTGCATTTAGTTTATATTTTATTTGCATTTACATTTGCATTTATATTTGTTTATTTTACTTTACTAGCTATATTTAATTTATACTTATGCCGTTATTAGTATTCACATACACATTCATTATAATTTCTTTTGCATTTATTTGAATTTAATTGAATTTACATTTATATTATCATTGTATTTACTTTGAAATGTTTTTATATATT